CTGAGTAGTGGGAAAGGCAGGAAAAGTAAGTTTCTTCTGGTTGATAAGTGTGAGCTGGATCTGGTACTGGTTGTTGTGGTTTCTGGGTGGTCTGGAGTCTGAAAATCCTCTGGAAGCGGAATCAACAAGCTCAGAGAGGATTTTCAAAGTTGGATGACATAATCATTACATGTACATGTGGTTGGGAGAGATGGAATTCCAATTTGGTTGGTATTTCACAAGGTACGGTGAAATGTTACAAAGTCCATGAAGGAGAAGAGTAGTGTAAAACTGGTCAGTGGTGACCATGGTTGAAATTAAATGAGGAATTCATTTCTGAAGTCAGAATGTAATAAAATCTTAAGCTGAATAAGTTATAGTTGGAACATGGATGAAAAGGGGGGACTCAGGCAGTCTTTTGGCCAGCTTGGCTGGCTCTAAGGCTGACATTCCATACCACCAAAGAGGTTTCATTTCCAAGAAATGGAACCTTTAATCTGCTGCTGAGTGTGTTGCTTCAATGCATTCCTTTTTTTCAAGCAATTTTTCCTGTTCAGAAATTGACCTCTTATAATTTGCTAAATACATCTTGACATCCCTGTTATCTTCTCTCAGTTTTAATTTAATCATGGTATTCAGTGTGTATCCATACTTAATCTTCCATGTTCAAATGACAATTTTCCAAAACAAAACACAGGAGTGATCATTATTAGTTATTTTATATTCAAGCTTAGATGGTTCCTAAATCTTCATCCATACTACATAGACTAAACCTCTTTGCTGTGGCTGTATCAGCTTTCTGGAATATTTGTGTTTTTACTTTTAGAGGATCCTGCAACATTGTATAATTTGAGAAAAAGTTGACCATCCCATTGAAGAGGTGAAATTTTTGCTGGAAGGAAATAAAAATGGATAACTTTGTAGATTTTAGAGTCTCAGTTGCATCTCCTATCTTTGCTTCATCAAATTTGTAAAATCACTTGAATTGTTGAAGAGAACTTCCTTAAACTTTCTGTGAAATTGGAAGAAGTCTTCTGCCTCAATTTATGTATGTGAAAATTTGATCCAACAAGTAGCTCAGTAGTTTTTGATGAGTTAAATGTTGATTTAAGATATAACAGCTTTCAAGGAATCATCATTCTTCCAATACATGGGCTCATTATTCAATGCATCCATCTCTGTTCCACTGCAGTATTCCTTTTTTGTTTCTCTCAGGTTAAATTAAGATGTACAGCTAAAACCTTCACCTATACTACTCCTGAGTATAATTTGGTAGTGGAAGGTGCAAAGGCATTACTGTACCTATCAAGACAACTAAACACAAAGATACTCATTGATCCTCTTACTCAAGAAAGGTCTGCTATCCTCTTATCAACAATGCAAAATCTGATAAGTTGAATTTGGAGTGACTTTGGGGAACTCTTTGTAGATTTAATTTCTCCACAGAGAAACAAAACATTCTAAGTTTTACCATTTGGCTTGCTGAACCTGTATAACCATAGATAATAACATGCAATGTCCAGCAAAGATGTCTGTTTAGTTAATCTGTGAAGACCTTAAGTTTTCAGGTTGTTTCTTTATGTCTGGGTGATTGGAAAGGACCCCAAATTTTCAAAATGAGGAATGAGACACATGCATTCAATGATTTGCAATATGTATACCAAGTGTTAAAATGGTCTTGTTCTCATTTCCAAAAATTCATCCTATCTTGGGTACTATTTTTTTTCAATCAGTTCAGCTGTCTTTCAAATTTGTGTTTCTAACTCTTTGATTGATTCAGAAGCTTCACTTGAAGATTTGGCAATTTGATGAAACAATAACTACCCAAATTGGATAAGAAGCAAAACAGATGTCTTAATTGGTGGCCATTCAATAAAGGCAGGATATGAGGAACAAGCTAATCTAATCTCATTTTTGTATTCAGTCAGAGATTCTTTTTGTTTATCCAGTTACACAGTATGATTCATATATACCACGTCCATATAATACATGATTTAAAGCTGAAATGGTTCTCCAATTAGCCTAGAGCAATGATCTACCTCATAAAATTGTGCTACTTTACTACCTCTGATTACAAGGGTTTGATACTTCTATGAAAGCAATCAATCATACTTCTAGTCACAAGCTGTGTTTCCCTTGTGCTTGGAAATACAATAGGCTTGAAATTGTAGCATTTAAATTTGGGAAAATAACTATAATTTACAACTGCTTCTTATTTCCTACTTAAACCAAAGAGAAGAAAGAATTGAGCAGGTCCCAGCATGAGTGATCTATTAATTTGATCAGATGATAAAGTTGTATTATTTAGAAACTATAACTCATATGGCATAAAGTCATGAGCCAAAAGGAACGAGCTGAGTTAATCTTGGCTAGAAGCTAGTGCTAAAATTATGTGGTGGATGGATCTTTATTCTTTTCTACAATTTATTAGAGCCATAAGGACTTACAGTACAAGCATTATGATTAGACCAATAGCTTTGTGGCCTTCAAATAATTCTAGTGAGCCATTAACCATCAAACTCAATCATGAAACAGAAAAAATAGGTAAATAATTATGCAATGTAGTTTACTTTATTGCTCAAGTAAGACTCTAACTGTATTGGTTTGAATTCAAATTAAGGATGATCAGGATTCTATGATTTATCTTTGATAGTTTTCTGAAGCAAGTTAATTCTTGAGAATCCCAAACTGGAAAAGTTGATTGGATTGCTCAATTCTTGAATTCTGTGTGAACCTCATGAACTATTAATCAAGGAAAACGGTCTGATAACAAGAAAGATACAAGTGAATTTAGACTGCCATGATTGTATTTACATTACATATCAAGGGAGTTATGTTTTAGCAATTATAATAAGATCAATCGATCTGCTGCTTTCTTGCAATTATAATTATCTGCTATTGAAGAACATTGATTCAATAATGTCAGGTAGACATTGTTATCTGTCTTCTTATGATGTTGTATTCTTCTAAAAAGGAGAGGAGGTGCGCAATAGGATGCCTAATGAGACTGTCTGATTATTCTTTCTCTTGCAATTCTAACAAGCTTGTAATAAAGCAAATCGGTTTGATGATGAGGAAGATACACTCAGATTGAGCTTCTTATTATCTTGTATTGATTAACTTTCAAGAAATATGGGGTAGAGGAATTCTGATTGCGCCAATCGATTGGTCTCTTCATTGTGATTCCAATGAGCTAACAATCATAAAAATCGACCAAAAACTGAGGAAATTATCTATGTATCTATGATTGCAAGATTTGTTTTGCTCTCAAGGTTTTTGAAGCTGGTCGCACTACTTTCTCTTCCAGTTGCTGAGGGATTCTGTTCTCTTCAAAGACAACAATTTGTAGCAAGCTATCTAGTTCTCGTACAGACTTCACATTGCTTCTCTTCCTTCCAACCTTGTGAGCATCTCTTGGTAAAAACTCTCCTGTAATAAGGCAATACCCATCATTCTAAGCATCGTGAGCTTGATCCACATAACATGACCCATTTGTTGAAAAGGTGGATTGCATTTTGTATTTTCTGATAGTTGGCTCTACTTGTGAATGGCTCCTCCCAATCTCTGTGTTGAATCTGCGTAGTTTGAATTGGTGATTGAGAAATTGGAGGGAGCATCTGACAGCTTTCTACTAGAGTTTTCTCATTTAGGTTGATGACAGTTCATCATCTTAATGGCTATTATCAGTCAGACCGATAGTTATCAGTGAAGGTCATCAGTATTAGTTGCTTTGAGTCTTTGAGGTATTATTTGACTGAGTCCTAATTCAGTACTCGGTCTTCTTGAACATGCACACAATACTCAAGAGAAATTCTATATAATGTATTCCCAAAGGTTTTATTCACATCGGTAATTGGTGTCCATGCAAACGAGGCTGGAGAACTATGTACTTCTATTGGGCTGGCTAGGAGTACATCTCCGATCATAGGAACTAACTAGATTGATTGGAGATTTGTGAGATCAGAACAAGTCAACGTTTCTGGTGCTTTTTACAAGTCTCAACCTTTCAGATGGAGGTTATTGTTGGTAAGAGCAATGATATCTGTCGGTTAATTGTTGCAGAGATCAGTAGTTGGTAGATATAAAGGCTATGCTCTTCAAAAGGAATTATGATAGGTTTTCCATCTTATTCTGAGCAGATGGAGACGAACCAACGTGGATTGAATAATTGAGTGAAACTTAATGACAAAGGGATCAGGTAATGGCTTTTCATGGATCTGAGGCTTCATGAAATGAGTGAGAGCGATCCCAAAAGACACTATGTCTACCATGTTGAAAACACAAAGAATTGATTTGGACCACAGCTTCAAAGCCTTCTGATCAGAAAATTGCAATAATTTCTCCTCGCTCTTCATCAATTGGATTGTAATTGAGAGAGCGGTATAGTTATAGATTTCAGCAAGAACATTGGTGAGGATATTGATATATCACGTTGGTTGATAGCAGCATCTTAGTCTGCTGAGAACAGGGGAAAACTATCAATCTTATATATTGTACGATCAAAAATTCTGGACAAGGCTTTTGCCCTAAAAATTCAGAATGGGTGGTTGCTCCGACAATTGGTTTTCAAATGACAATCGGAAAAAGATGAGTAGAGTATTTTGGATCTTATGGTATACCAGTCAAGTTATGTATGATATCTATTGGTCAATTGATTAGAGCTGGGGATACGCCGAATTCCGACGGCAGCGCTCCCTCCACTGGTCTTCTCATAGCAGTTGCGTTGATCTGCGGCAGACTGGAGCTTAAACTTGCGAAGTTGCTCCTTTGTTGCGGCACTAAGCTGGTATCTAGGGTCATTGCCCCGCTGTAGTCCAGCAGGTCGTTCTCTTGATCTGGAGTCGAGCGGCTGTTGGATCTCTCGCTGAGATTGCTCTTCTCGATTGGTCTCGTGTTGAGGTAACCCTCTACTGGACTGGGCTCTGCGTTCGATCTTGCTTCTTTGTTGTTCAAGAGAGATGTTGTGACCATTCCTTAAATGGGCGCCCATTGTGATTGCGACACAAACAAAAATTATAAGAATTTATGAGTTATGGTTCTTCTCCTGCTTTATGAGTCTATAACTCGATCGACAAGCTGATAGGAGAAGAAAAATCACAGAGAAACAAGTACCTTTGTTTCTCTTCTGGCGCGGTTTTCTTTTTGGCTTCAGCTTTTTAGAGAGGTAAGAAGAAGTAGTCGGCGTCCACTCGGAAAAACAAGCAGGTTCGGCTTTACTGGGTAAGGGTTTGTCTTTTGTTTTCTGTTTCCAGATGTATTGGAGTCCACTCGGTCGAGGAGATAGGATTTCCTTCTTGGGGAGGAGCTAATGTCTGGTTGTCCAAGAGGTCAAGATCTGTCTCTGAGTCCGACGAGATCGAAGAAAAATCCAAAGAAGATTCGAGAGTAGCAGATTAGATTGGAGAATCGGGTATGATACTCTTTTGCTTGTCTTCACTTCGCAGATTCAACAGGTAATTCAAGGTTTCAAAAAAAGAGAATGTGAAATATTAGAAACGATCGACTCGGCGAGCGCTCCGCGATGGAAATTTGAGAATTTTTTGCAAGCGCTTCGCAATGGATATTTTTTAAGGAGAAAAGGTGATGTGTTGCTGGTCTTTGCTTCTCGAGCAATGGAAGCAGTTTTGGTCAACCGGAGAACAAGACAAATGAAAAAGTAGGCTTGATTAACACCACTTGACTTATTTGTTAGCAAGTCTTTTCAGGTAAGAGAGAAAAGGGATTTGGCAAGCGCTCCGCAATGAGATTTAAGATTTTTTTGGTAAGTTAGTTTTTGAAAGATTGAAAAAACTGAAAGTATCAATAGTTTTTATTTTGTTTTGTTTTTTGAAAAGAGTAAATGAAGCTCTGAGAGAGTTTTTTTTTTCTTTATAAATTTTAGAGGCCTGATAATGAAGATTAAAGTTTGAAAGTATGATTTTAAGAGGTCTATGGAATATATTTCCCGATGAGGCCCCCAATTGTGAGCCTGGGTCTCAATAGTGACAGCAGGACACAAGGTTTGGGGGGCACTTTTAAATGTATTTCTCAAGAGAAGTGAAATACAAGTAAAAGTAGAAGAGAAAGAGAGAAGAGAAATAGAAGAAATGAATAATCTTTTTGTTGTTTGTTTGTTTTGTGATGATTATTAAGATTCTGACAGTCTTATTTCCTCTGAGGGTAGCTGTTATAAGCGGAGCTAACTCTACGCCTCCAAATCAAAGGAAACTGAAATGGGTACTTGACTCTGATAAATCAGGTCAACCACAATTTTTTAGATCAGGGATGATCAAGGTTCTTTAAAGGGAAACCTATGTAGTTTTCAGTTTTACTACCAAGCAAGAAGAGAAGAGAATCTTTGAAGCTATTGGAGCTTTGGTTGATCAGGGCTTTTGGTTTAGAGAAGTAAGAGAAAAAGGTGAGAGTGACAGAGAAAGAAAACAAGCAGAAAGATGCTAGCTGGACTTAAAGAAGTAACTTACTGATGACACCAATGACACTGAGGAGTGGGAAAGGCAGGAAAAGTAAGGTTCTTCTGGTTGATAAGTGTAAGCTGGATCTGGTACTGGTTGTTGTGGTTTCTGGGTGGTCTGGAGTCTGAAAATCCTCTTGAAGCGGAATCAACAAGCTCAGAGAGGATTTTCAAAGTTGGATGACATAATCATTACATGTACATGTGGTTGGGAGAGATGGAATTCCAATTTGGTTGGTATTTCACAAGGTACGGTGAAATGTTACAAAGTCCATGAAGGAGAAGAGTAGTGTAAAACTGGTCAGTGGTGACCATGGTTGAAATTAAATGAGGAATTCATTTCTGAAGTCAGAATGTAATAAAATCTTAAGCTGAATAAGTTATAGTTGGAACATGGATGAAAAGGGGGGACTCAGGCAGTCTTTTGGCCAGCTTGGCTGGCTCTAAGGCTGACAGATTACTGACATGTTGTTTTTGTTCTTTTGCTTTTTCCAGATTCACCCATCGACTGTGGCCCCGGAACCAAGTCGTGACGGCCAACATGTCGATCCTCATCTAGTAAGTTCAACCTCTATGATTTTGATTCTTCCCGTGCATGATACTAATTCAAGCGTTATTTATTCTTTTATTCCCTTTCTTTAGGTTCAAGAGGGCATCAACTTCTATCCCCTCCAAAGCCGTTGGTCCCCGGCTTTCACCCCATCGGTTGGAAACTTCCCTCCCGGACTCCGAAGTCCCGACTTCATTGACTCCGGCTCGACTGACGGGCGTTCGGCCACTGAATCCTCAAGCTCCTCCATATCTGACGGCTTCAGCTCTGGATCCGAGTCTGAATCCAGCACCCCGGCTTCGGCACCTCCATCAATCCCAAACTCCTCGGCGTTCCCATCTCCATCCTCTTCGGATCTCCGCTCGGTTCCGCCCTCGGAGATATTCTACGCCAATCGACCAAGACCACAACCTGTCGCCACTGGGTCTGGTAACTCCTACGATGACCCAATGGTTGTCGACGACGATTCCGCCTCCGGTTCCGATCCGGACTCAGTTCCCTTCGGCCCCACCACCGAGTGGGGATCCACCAATCAAACGGCTCCTCCAGCTACCCCTGTCAATCCCGATCCATCGGCTCGAGAGATGATGGCGTTCGACTACCGCGCCATCCGGGACCAACTAGTCGGCTCCAATCCGTTGCCGTTTGGTACCCAAGTATATCGAGAGGAAGACCTTCTCTTCCTATTTCAGAATGTCGCCAACAATTTCATACACTTGTCCAATAAGTACCCCGCCTCGACTCTCGGCGAAATCGAGGATCGTGTTCAATTCTATCAGAACCTGCAATGGGTTTTCACCGCTGACCGTCAGGTTTTCCTGGCCACCCACTGCGGCTATCCCTAGGCAAGTAATCTCTTCTTTCATCCTCCTTCTTTAACAATCCTTCTCCATCATGCTGACTACCTAAAACTCTTTTTAGCTTTTCCCTTTTATGGATATTCTCCCACTACTGGCTATAAGTGCCTCCTCTTTTCTTCTTCTAAAATAAAAAAAACTTTAAAGAAAAGAAAAAATTGAAAAATAAAAAGAACAAAAAAACTTTTTAACTGTACTACTATCCAACCTCTTGTATATAGTTTTGATCATATAACTGGCTGACTTTTTGTGAGTTCATGCCCACCCCATTGGTGCCTTCTTGACCTCCTGGGACTCTGAGATCTTTTGAGAAGAAATAAAAAATATTTTGTACATAAAAAAACTCTTTTTATGAATCCTTTGAGTTTTGATTAAGAATCAAAACTTCCTGAATTTTAAGTGAGTCAAAAAAAGTTTTTAAAATTCTTGACCAAATCACAGAAAGAAAAGGAAAAAAGAAAAGAACCCCCTCCCCCAACTTATATGGTTGTCCTCAACCATTCTTTAGGGAAGAAAACATAAAAAAAACTTCATTCAAGATTGAGTTCATAAGAGATGAATCTCCTCCCCCAACTTATCAAAAATAGGGGGTATCAAATATAGCAAATCCACCTTTGCAAACCCGTCAATTATTTTTTTGAAATCCACGATTATTAATTGACGGGTTTCCAAAATCCACCTCCATCAACCCCAACGGGTTTTGAACAAAAAAACACACATCTTTTCACCCAAACCAGTCAATTAAAATATCCCATTTGTTTCAACTCATATCACCGCCAATTTTCACTTGCACCGCCAAACTTCACCTCATCAGCACCGATCATCCCACCACCAAACTGATCATCTGACCACCAAACTTCACATCATCAGCACCAATCATCCCACCACCAACTCATCATCATCAACACCAAGATCGCCTCCACTCAAGTCCTCAAAAGCAATCATGCCCAAAGTATCTCGAAGAAAGAAAATAATCGAAGCATCCAATGTTGCTGCAATGGCCATGATGGACGATTCAGATTCAGATCACGACTCAGAACTTGAAGAATTTTACTTTTTCTCTATGAGTCAGCTTCAGAAACGATACCTAGTAGCTCGAAACTCCACGACACGATTTGATCCTCGTTATGACTTGTCTGAGCTTCAAGAACTTCCAGAATTAAGCTTTGTGCAGATGTTTCGTATGACTTTTCCTTGCTTCCTCAACCTGGTACAGCTCATCGAACAAAACCCCATCTTCTACAACAACTCTCGTAATCCCCAAAGGGATCCACCAATCCAAATTGCTGTAGCAGTATGCCGTCTTGGATCAAATGGAAACAGTTCAGCTATCTACAGGCTCAAAAATCTGTTTCAAGTTGGGTTTGGAACGATCGACCTGTATACTAGACGAGTCATTCATGCTGTTTATGGATTACAATCTTCTTTAGTCACTTGGCCTACCGAATCTGAACAAATAGAATCATCTCAGGTCATGCGAGACGAAGGACTCCCTGGCTGTGTGGGATTTGTAGATGGAACAACCATCCCTTTGAGCCAGAAGCCCCCCAAGGATGGGCAACATTACTTTGATCGTAAGAAGAGGTTAGCTTTTTGATACTGCTGAATTATACAAAAAATCTCCCTTGTTGATTGATTGTCATTTGCTCTTGGCTGCTTGGATCAGATACTCCATTTCAGTAACTGTCATATGTGATATCAACAAAAAGTTCATTTCTTATTTGGCTGGATTTCCTGGCTCATCTCATGATTCTTATGTATTTTCGCACATGCAAGTGGCCCAGTATCCTGAAAAGTACTTTGACCAAAAGCAATTCCTACTGGCAGACTCAGCCTACACCAACAATTGTTATGTTGTCCCTGCATTCAAAGGCAAACATTTGCTCAAACGTTGCAACATCAATTTCAACTACCACCTAATCTTGAGTCAGAATTGAACATGCCATTGGCATTCTAAAAGGTTGTTTTGCAAGCTTGCGAGAAATTCGAACTCAAATTTGTAATGCTGAAGAGATGAAGGGGGCTGTAAAATGGATAGTTACTTGCATCGTTCTACACAATCTGCTGGCCGATCTCAAAGATCAATGGAACGATCTTTATGAAGATGAGGCTCCTGAAGACAGTGAAAGTGACTGTGATGATGACGATGTTCCGAATTATGATCTTAGGGCTAAGATGCGTGGAATCACACTGGCCCACTTTGCATAGGTAAGTCTTTTTATTTGCTTTTGATGGGCAAGTCGTTAACAACCCCATGTTGAAGCCCCGAAAGATGT